TTGGAACACCCTGTATTTGTCTAAACAGATAGCCTCCAAATTGTACGTAAGTTTCTGACAGTACGGGTGAACAATGGCCAATACCTCATCCTTATTATAACAGGCTAGATTGGTGCGGATTTCATTCGTAAACCAGACCGACTTGTACCCTACGGCCACATAATCTTTGCATGCATTTGTAAAACATAGATTAATCAAGTGACTAATACTTTTGGCTATATCCAAGTGCGATAAACTAGTAAAGAGATTGCTGAAGTCGGCGGTATATATGTGATTAATCGGAGATGGTAGTGCCTGGAGCCTGTATAGTACGGTTTGCCTGTATAACTTGCCTCACGTACACTCATATACTATTTGTGCAGATTCAGAGCAAACAACCGCAGTGTTCGAGACGAAAACTCTTTCGCGTGTTTCCGGGACAAACTGTCTTTCAAAGCCCGAATAAATTCTGACTTACTGTAGTAGCCTACTGATTCACTGATGGTGCCTGAATAATCTCCTCATAACTACTGCGGAATTAGTTGTTTCGGAAAAAAAGATCTGCTTGAGGCTTGCTTATTTTCTTTTAAATTTCACAATCGAGGAGTCCATAAATTGGTTTGAGGTTTGAGACTGCGGTTCGAAACGGTGATCTGATGGAGATACGGCGTGTCACGGTACAGAGCAATGGCACTGTTCGCACTATTATCAATTTTTCGCTACGGACATTCTGCGAAGATTCCGATTTCAAAAACTTTCCCGATGATGTTTATAAGTGCTGCTACCAAATCGAACCACACTTCAACCAGGTTATCAAATCCACTACTTTTCCAATGCACCAATGTGAGTAGTCGCCCCTAGTCGAGAATGAAAGGAGCCTGACCAACCCCTCTTAGTGCAGTCAAATAGTGCTGGAACTGGCCGAAAGGAATAAAATTTCAGGAAGCAAAACGAGCGAATCCAAACGGATAAATATAGAAATGTCTGTTGTTAACTAAACTCCCCTGTACAGAAATAATGTTAACAGTAAAAGCTGATCTGAAACATTGGTCGTTTTATAAAAAAGGTGTTTTTTGATACGGAATTTCTGGATTTTTAAAGAGCACATTATCCTTTTAAAAATTAATGCAGTTAAGCGTACCATCGCACGCGCAGGTTCGGATTGGGATTTTAGTTGACTAGTCTGTGTTTTAAAATACTTCTGTCGCTAGTAAAGGTGTAGGTATTCCACGTTAGCGATGTTACTGAGATGCCTCCATAGTCGGACGTAGGTATGTCCGGCTGGTCAATTCCGAACTGCGCACTTCCAGTTAGTACCCATAAGTGCATCACTTTTTCCGAGCCATTCAAGTCGTCGATCACATTTCTGTGAATATATCACCCACTGTGTTAGAAAATCTCGACTTATTTTCGCATGCACTTCAGCAGTTTATTTACGGTGGTATAAAGCATTCGTAGCACGAAAAGTTCAAGCGTTGTTTTAGGATGCGATAGATTTTGAAACTGTCGGGCAACCTGTATTCACGGACCCGAAATATTTCCGCGATTACGGCTGGCTCATGTATGGCACTGTACCAACCGTCCAAATTGCTGATGATACACAAATTTCACAGGTAAACTGAACCACTGATGCCTCTGTGGCTTATGTATTGTTAAAGCGAAGTTCTATCTGAGTGAGTGTGGTGCCATTCATTTATCTAGAGCAAGCAGCGCTCTCCACTTTAGCTCGCTGATGCAGTGGCCATTAGCGCTATTCTCAGATTTAAGTTAGCGGTTTTGCTGCGCAACTGATTTGTCTCGATGGTAAATTAACACTTACGCAGATGAGGGTGGTAAATTAATACCACAGGTTTTGAAAATATAGTTTGCCTGCTAGCAAAACTGTCACCCCACTAGTTTCTAATTATAACCTTATTGCACGAATATGTTCTTTCTGTAACTGCTTTCAAGCCTCGCTTACTTCAGCTCGGCTTTTGCATCAACTTGCAACGATCGACGAACTCGGTACGAATCGAGCTGTCGCTACCGAGCACCGTTACCTCCATATTATTCCTGCTGACGCCTTTGCTGGGTCAGATCCATCTACAGATTGCTGCAAAAATGTTCGTGCTCTTCCTACAGTTCCTCACTTTGCAGCTCTTCTCCGCCCGTATCGCACCGCATCTTGGCTCCGCTGCTGCAACGCCAAAAATACGTACGTATTTTAGCAAATCTCGCAGTTAACAATCAGTCTGGCTTTGCCAAATAAAGAGTACGAATTCGAATTTGTACTTGAGGAACTTTAGAAGCGTCGAACTTTTTTGGTATTTTTTATCATCCTTAA